GGGGCTTAAGTGGAGAGGAAATGTTTTGAGAATGATGAGGGCAATGAATGTACAAATGTGCTTTACACAAGTGATGTATGAATGGATTGTGATAAGAGTTGTATGAGCCCCTAATAAAACGATTTAAAAAAATCACTGCCATCGAGTCAATTCGGACTCACAGCGACCCTATAGGACAGGGTAGAACTGCCCCTATGGGTTTCTGAGACTGTCACTCTTTAGAATAGAAAGCCCCATCTTTCTCCCACAGAGTGGCTGGCTTCGAAATGCTGACCTTGCAGTTAGTAGCCCAACACGTACCAACTGTGCCTTCAGGGCTGGCAACCACACTGGGCTTGGCAGCCCCAGACTGTGAGCTGCTCTCGGGTGCGGGCTCCTCATCCAGCAGATGCAGTTGTAGGAACCCCTTGCACCTAGGATTGTGTCCAGGTAAATTACTGAATGAAGTCATTGATAAAGGAAGTCAGCTGACCTTGCTTTCAAGAAATCACCCTAGAAGGGAAAGACCCAGAAAAGTCTAACCTGCCCAAGGCCACGTGATCAGGCAGAACTAGATGGGATGCACCCTCTCAGTTTCTTAAATCTGCCCTATGTGGTTCTGCCCCCAAATGGACAGCGGGTAAGAGGCAGGCTTGTCCGTGGTCTCTAATGAATCATGCCAGGGCTGGATGGTAGTGACCCCAAGGCCAAAAATGGACCGCTTCTCTAAGCCCAGCCTTCCTCTCCTCCCTTCTCCCTTGACTCTAAGTTTAGTGGCTTATAATCTATGGACTCTTGGCCTTCCAGGGGACTGCGCTCCCTCTAAAGTTCACTCTGGCCAGCCCTCTGCAAAGTACTGATTTTTTTTTTTAAACCATATTGGTTTCAGAAAACCTGCTGTTGCCTGCCATTGTGCATAATACACGTGGGGTGTGGTTTTACAGCCTCCATAAGTCGTGGTTTGTAACCCACTCAGATCCATGTGACTGCTCCTTTTACTTATGCTGGTTTTTTTCTTTTTTCCACCCAGGCCGACATGCTTCAGGGCTACTTTTGCACTTCATTTGAGCGTAGTCTGAGCTGTGCACAGTGCCATCTCGGAGAGGCCAGCACAGTGCTTTGACAAATGGTTTTCCCAACGTAATAGTAAGAGCAACTAATATACATTTGACAGCCCTGGTGGCATAGTGGGTTACACATTGAGCTGCTATGCCCAGGGAGAGCAGTTCAAAACCACCAGCTGCTCCTCGGGGGAAAGATGAGGCTTTCCGCTCCCAGAGAGTCACTGTCTCAGAAACCCCCAGGGGCCGTTCTCCCCTGTCCACAGGGCCACTCTGAGTCAGCATAGACTCCTTGGCAGTGAATTTTGAGAATATACATTTAGTGTTTTGCATCTGCCGGGCTTTGCACACATATTGAATTTTCACAATAACTTTCTAAATCAAGGATGATTGATATCGCTGGCTCAGGGTTTGGTGAACTGAATCTCAGAGAGGTTCAATCATTTGCTCAGTCACATGGCCCGGAAGTGACAGTCCATATGGAAAGCCAAGTCTCTCTGATCCAAGAGGCAGTATGCTTAACCAGAGTCCAAGGTTGCCCTCCTAAAAGGGTCCCTGTGAGAGTCAATGACGGCAGTGGTTTTGTTAGCAGGTTAGTGGTGCAGTGGTTAAGCATTCAACTACTAATGGAGAGGTTGGTGGTTCGACCTCTCCAGCCATTTGGTGGGAGAAAGACGGGGCAGTCTGCTTCCCTCAAGTCTACAGCCCTGGAAACCGTATGGGGCAGTCCTTCTCTGTCCTAAAGGGCAGTTGTGAGTGGGGATTCCCCTCGGTTCTCAGGGCCAGCAATGGAGCAGCATGACTGTCCGATTCGTAAGAGTCATGGAGAAACTGAATCCAGGCTTTTGGACTTGGAGTTGGGAGTGGGGACTTGGAGTTGTGTTTTTTGTGCTTCCCTTTGAACGGTGTCATAGGCCTCTATGACTTTTCTGACTGGAACCTCAATTAACTTATACATTCAAACAAGTAGAAAAACCTCTTCCTATTTTTATCTCCCCACCTCTTTAATGAAAGGATCCTTTGTCACAATTGGGTCTTGCCTCGGGACTCGAACTCACGGCCCTAAGCTGATTCTGACTCCGATTGGCAGATTAAATCTGCATGGCTCATTGCATGATTTGCAAAAGTACCCCTGCTCTGACATCATTCTGCAATTCCTCCCAGTCAAGGGGCAGTGACACCCCCCGAGACACACACACGTACTATATTCTCATTCTGGGTGTCACATGGGATGGTTTTAGCTTCTGGTTTATTTTGCCTTTCTTCGTGGGCCTGTTCCTCTGCCTGACATTTCCTCTCAATGAAAGCACCCGGTTCTCCTGCAGGGTATTTGCACTCATTTGCATATTCCCTGAGCTGCCCTCTGGAGCTTGTAACCGATCAAAGAGCTCTGGGTTACATAATAACATCTGATAGGTGGGGATCAATGCAGGAGAAGCTCAAAATCCAAACTTCCAGTCACCAACGTGTCAAAATGAAAATGAATTTCCCCTGGAGAAGTAAGCATGACAGCCCCCTCCAGCCTTGGAGAGCTGCACCCACCCGTCGCATGAAAGAGTCACTCGGGAGAATTCTTCACTGGGGAAGAAAATCATGTGTTTTCCTCTTTAATAAAATACACACATGCTAAGTAATCATGTCTCCTGTTCACTCAAACCAAATGGAGTCTCCTTTCCTCATCCAAATGGCTAGGGCTTCTCAAAACGAAAACAACCCCTCCCCTGAAATGTTCATTTTAGTGCCCGAGCGCATCCTCTTGGACTTCGATGGCTGGCTCACCATCTGCTGATGCTAGGGGAGGGTGGGGGGGAACCTGGAAGAAGCCCCTCCTCCCCTTTACAAGACCCATGCCTTTCCCTTTCCCTTGTTCTAGCCCCCCACCCCATCCCTTCCATGCGGTCCAGAGTGTGGAGCAGCCCTTGAAAATCCCCTTCCTCTAAACATCGCTGCCCTGAGGTTCCTGAGGACAGCCGTTGACACCCTGGCTAGCTGTTACAAAAACCTTTTCATTCAGAAGAAGGCAGGCAGTTCTGGCCACGGGGCACAGCCCTCTCATTCACACACCACACACACCGCACACACACACACACACACACACAACGTAAACAACAGGACTTGGCCCCTGCCACTCTACTCAGGAGAAGTCCCCAGCTTTTCAGAAACCACCTTGCACCATCAGCACCGCTGCCTGGCCAAAGACCTTGCAGAAGAATTAGGAATTCCACGGCCTCGGAGAAAGGGCTGGAAAGGACCCGTATCACCCTCGCACCAGCCCATCAATTTCAAACCCCTCTGCTTCAAAACAGCGGCCCCTAATGCTTCCATGAAGCCCAAACACCAAGCTTCCCGGGGGACAGAGATAGTGACCGTGGCCAGCGCCATGCCCGAGGCTCCCCATCCCATCCCTGTGGGTCTGGAAAACCGGATGGAGCCAGCGATCCGGAGGCCAGGGCTGCTGGGGTAGGAAAATGGCTTGTCTCCAGGCCATCGTCCCTCCTCCGAGACAGTCCCCTTTAAATGCAAGAAGCCAGGCAGGGATGCCACCCACCTTCCACGGCCGAGGTTCTCCGTTTTTTGTTTTTTGTTTTCAAGAACACCTCGCTGTCACCCCCACGCGACTCCATACTCACGGCAGCTGCCTGAGCTGGAAGAGGTCTTCCTCCATGTCCGCGCTGCGCCAGGACCAGCCCTGTGCATGGCCCTTACATGGTGGTGGACGGCGAGCCGGGAACCTGGCTGCTTCTGGACAGCGCCCGCGCCGCGTCCTCCCTCGGGCGGCAGCTGTTCGGGGTAGGGAGCCCCCCACTCGCCGCCGGGGTGCAGCCCACGAGACAAAGCCGTGCCGCCAGGAGAGAGACGGCGGTGAGAGTGGGCGGAGAGGAGGAGGAGGAAGGCTGAGCCAGCTGCGAGGGGGGTGGGGGGAGAGGCGGGGAGGGATCTTCTGCTTAGAGGGATTGACAGGCTCGCTGCTCCTGAGGGTGGCTTGCTGGCCAGGGCGCCCATGGGGGCATCACCAGCCTGTGAAATGACTCTCGAGGTAGCAGATCGGACCCCTGGGTCGAGATGCCTCTCTCAATGTTTGTAGGGATTCATGAATATTATTTTCTGTCCAACAATCTCCAGACCCAAACTGCTGGCACAGGGAAGGGTCAACATTCTTACTATCTTCAATCATCAATATCAATAGTGTTTCCTTTATTGAGCAAACAGGACGCAGTACACAAAACCAGTTACCCCTCCCACGGTCTTCAGGATGCTGTAAAGCCCCAAACCAAACTCACCTCCATTGAGTGGATGCCTATTCACAGGGAACCTACAGGACCGGGTAGAACTGCCCCTGTGGGGCTTTTAAGGCTGTAACTGTTAACTGTTTACAGGAGTCGAAAAAGCCCTTTCTCCCACGGAGCAGTTGGTAGTTTCCAACGGCTGGTCTTGTGGGTCACAGCCCAACACACACCCACTAGAGGTCCTTTGCATCCGTCAGTGTGAGGTTTTCCCATGAGCCACAAGCCCTCGTTGTGGGTCTGACCAGTTGCCTCAGAATTTCTTCTGATTCAGAGAGACCAAATGTGTGTCAGCGTTGAACTCTGCGCCGTAGGATTTTCCATGGCTTGTTTCTCTGGAAGTAGATCCCCAGGCCTCTCTTCCAAAATGCCTCTCGGTGGATTTGAACTTCCAACCTTTTGGTTAGCAGTCGTAGCCTTAGTTTCCAATTTACTTCCTTCCAAGTCACCCTTCGGGTTCCTTGGCGGTATGGTCCACTGGAAGCCCAAAACGACACATGCATAGACGAGCCGGCCACGGGAGCAGGAGCAGAGAGGAGTCCTAGGACCACGGGCAGTGGAACACACTCACGATCTAAAGTGACAGAGACAGACGAGAGCCATGAAAGACCGTGGGACAGAGCAAAGGAGTCAGGCTGAGGCAAAACAAGAGGAGCAGCGCCGAGGCTAGACTACGGGCTGTGAGATATGGTCCCCAGGAAGAGGCCAAGAGACCAGGTGGCTGAGAGGCTGAAGGCCAGAGAGACTTGACTGCTGGCTGATAAGAGGCACTGCTGTGGACCAATTGTATCCTTACTGTGACTGATGCTGACTTGTAAGCTGGTACCTCCCCTAATAAACCTCCTTGATCATGAGTACCATATATGAGTTCTGTGTGGCCAGTGCAATGAATTAGTGAACCCAGAACAGAGGTATAGTTGGGGGAATGACTGGTGTCAGAATAGGTAACAAGCTGGAGGGTGAAGGCCTGGCAGACCCCTGCCTCGTGGCAATAGGGAAGCCAGAAGAGCTCACTTATGCCCCCACTTCCCCCGCCACTTACATTAAGTGGGTTAACTCTTTGCAAGACCCAGGGATTCTTTGTGGATATCATAGGAGAAATTTGAACTCCTGAAACATTGGAGAATTCTTAATGAATGAACTGTCAGTGCAGTGTGTGGAATTACTTGATACGGCTCTTTTAGCTACAGCGCTTGTTACTCCCAAAGGAGTTCTGGTGACACAGTGCTTACACATGTGCCTGCCATCCGCAAGGTCAGCAGTTCGAAACCACCAGCCTCTCCTCGAGAGAAAGATGAGGGTTTTCAACCCCATAAAGAGCTATAGTCTTGGAGACCCACAGGGGCAGTTAGTTCTACCCTGCCCTATAGGGTTGCTATGAATTGGTTGGCATCAACTCGATGGCAGTGAGTTTGGTTTGGCTGCTACCACCAAATGCTTTTCCCAGATGATTCTGGGTAAGGTGGGGAGGGAACGATCCCGAGAAAATGACAGGATTCAGCTAGTGATTGCTAGCAGGGTTCGTTGTGATTGCCACCCCACTGGATATAAAACCAGTCAGCTCAGCTGCAGGAAGGGGGACTCTCACTACCAATGACAGAGAAGAACCCCAAATCCCCACGCACTGAACGGGAGCCAGAGCCGTGGACTTTCCAGTCCACAAAGCAAGTAGAGCTAAGCGCCTATGAGCAGGAGGCTGGTCTGTGGAGTAGGATGCCTCGAGGCACTTAATTGGCAGAGCTAAGTTTGCTGACCCACAGAACTAGGGATGTGGCTTCAGGCTGAGATTTATGACAGAAAGGCTTGCCTTTTGGGCATTTCTTGGCAGGGCTAAAAGGGTTTTGTAACATTGGATGGGCAGGGCACAGCTCAGTGAGCCTTGTGGGCATGGCTATCCTGTCTGAATCATTGCATCCTGAGAGCTTTCTTAACAAACCCCACAATAGTGAGTACTGTCTGAGTTCCGTGCACCCATCGCACTGAATGATGGAACCCAGCTGAGGAGGAGAGCTGTGTGAGGGATAGCTGGTGTCAGAATGGCAGGGAGGCTGGAGGGCAAGCCACGTCTGACCTCAGCCTCGCGGGAACGGGCTTTGGACGATGCTGAGGTGGACTCTGCTTTTCCCTCCCCATTGTGAAGCCAGAGGAGGTCTGCCATCACCCCACGTCATTTCGTTCTTGTCAACAGTTGGGGAAATATAAATTATAAAGGGGGACTAAAACTCCAGCTCCAATTCATTCTTCATCCAACAGCCCTTAATTAAGCAACAGCTATGTGCCTGCCCTAAGGCTACTATAGATTAACTTATGCAATGGCTGCTTCTGACCAATCACAGCTTTCCCACCCGCATTCACTTCCCAAAGGAACCTGCCCCACTCCTGTGTGAGCACCCCATTTAGGATCAGGGGACTCCTGGCCCTAGCTCAAGAGTTAGACAGCCCTCATATAGCCAATGTAAACACTGGTCAGTAGCTTCTGGCTACAGAAGAGTAGACAGACCGGTTTGTTTTCAGTGATGGTATTCAGCCACCTCTGAGGGCTCCTGCCCTCCCTGCCCCCCACCTCTTCCCAGTTCTTTTAGCGGAATGCTGCCCGGTCCTATGCCCCCCTCACTTGTTACCTCTGAACCCATTGTTGCTGCCAGGCACTCGGTCCATCTCACCGAGAGCCTTGCTCTTTATTTCTTTTAATTCATCAAGAGTTTCTAAATATATATATAT